CTGCCACGAAATCTGCACTTCGAGGTTCACCAAGTGCTGTGCCTGCCACGAAATCAGCACTTCGAGGTTCACCAAGTGCTGTGCCTGCCACGAAATCTGCACATCGAGGTTCACAAAGTGTGCTGCACCTGCCACGAAATCTGCACATCGAGGGTCACAGAGTGCTGTGCCTGCCACGAAATCTGCAAACGAGCCACATGTCAAAAAGTCACAGTTCACTGCACCTGTAACGAAATCTGAGCTCCTCGACGACCACCAGCATGCCCAAAGTGCTGCGGCTGAAACGAAAACGCAAAACAGCTTCGATCCCTTGCACCTGTCGCGAAAAGTCGACTTTGAAGCACCAAAACACGAGGTTTCCCTTGTGCCTGCCACGAAAAGTGACCACCATGTGCGAAAATGCGCACGGCGCCACAACGAGAGTGCAGTCGCTAGAAGCACCCGCCCGGGGCACCCAGACTTTGCGAGCCTGCGCAGTCGAAATGCATTTCGACGATCTCGAGAGGCACTGTAAATGGCAGCGAACAGGCCGGACACGCCCGCGCGGCACACCCAACCAAGCACACCTGCTTTACACCTACCGTAAGAACCCCTAGTGTGTCCACACTGTTTGGAAAACAAAAATATCCCAAACCCATCAAACCAACCAGCAATCAAAGCACCCAGCAAGGTGCTAAAAACAAAACACCAAACCCATGCACAGACCCCCCAAAATACACAAGGACGCCTTTCCTCAAATTCCAGTCTGGGCGTCTTCCGCAATCACCTGAGCCGCTTGGACAACTTGCCCCGCCAAGGCCAATCCTTGGTCAACGCAGAAAAGGGGAGTGGACGAACGCCGTCCGGGCTCCAAGCGCATCGGTTTCGAAGGTGGGGCTGGGCCTGGGTGTTGCATGAGGGAAACATCCATGCGTTCCTGATTGTTGGGGTTTTCAGGCAGGTGTCTGTTCAACCCGGCGAAAACGGTGTGAAGCATCGTGCTGGATCGTCAAGTTGGGAAGAGCTCTATTCTCTGTTCCGTCGTACCACACATTGAGCTCATTACTGTGATAGGAACAGGGTGCACAGCGCTCCGGGCTTTGACCCCCTGCTACATGCTGAGATCTATAAAAATATACATCTTGACCCCTGAAATCAACCAAAATCAACCAAAAACCCTAACGTCCGTGACCCCCCTTCCTCGCCGTTTCGGCGTAGCCGACCTCGTCCCGGCGAATTCGCCGACCGAGTCGCCAATGCCCAAGACCTGAAGACCCACTCCAGCAGCCGTGCCCTTCGCAGAGGCCTGGCTCCGCCCGTGCGGCGCTTCAGCGGAAGTGGAGGAGTCGATGGACTGCAAGAGATATACCAGGACTTAGAGGTTAAGGGGTGTTCAAAAAACCACCTGTTGGAAGGTCACCGGTGTATATATTATATATGCTAGGCGTCCAACCAGTATAAACTTAATGGTTTTGACCGAACCACCATGGTTTTACAATATTGATTTTAATTACATTACAAAATTAAATAAACAACATTTAAAAACTAGTCTTGCTTCCAAACTTCAGGGTAGAACTATAATTCTAATATATATATATATATGCATCGGTAGTTATTCCATACGTGGATCCTTACGGTATTGGTCGTACACTTGGGTGTATCCCCCTATCCCCTCTGCTGAGCAACCATCCAATAGCAAACCGTAGCCCTAGCCTTCCAAGACCATTGCAAGAAAGGTTGACCCGGTTTTGTAATGTAAAGCAATGGGCAATGGTTGTTTGATGTTCTTTGGTAAGAACGCCAAAGAAGGAGCACGCTTAGGGGCACGATCCGGCCAAGCAGTTGCCCAGCGCAGCGACTGAGTGACCAAACGTTAGATGTCGAATTCGACCTATGTCCCGAATGCGTAGCGAAGGGTTCTTCAACTCTGGGGGGTCTGGGGGTAGAGACTTGGTCTGAAGTAAGGGAATTTAAGTCCTTTCAGGTACAGATCAGTCATTTACTCTTTTTTGGGAGTCCGAGACTACTGCAACAATTGTCTTCCAAGGCCTTCAAACAGGTGGTTGATGGATACCCCTTCACCTCCAATAACTACTTAGACACCCCTTATGGGGGTCCTGTTTTAGATGACCCGATTTTCAGGAAGTTCCTTACCCCTAGCCTTCCAAGACCATGTTTAAAATGGTGAGTTGTAGTGTAACAATGGTTCTTTGATGTTCCTTGGTAAAGACCATTAAACCAATGGTTGCTGGAAGCCTACGGTTACTTCCCGCTTGAATGTCGGGGCCCCACACACTCCGCCTGTTCCTCGTCGCCCCAAACACTGGCGAGGCCTCGGCGCGGCGCAGCTGAAACTCTGATCAACCTGCCTAGAGTTCCCGAGTCCCAAACCGAAACAGTTCTGGGTTGCAACTCCCTTTTTGGTCCCAGGCGCTTGACCATGGATTGCCACTCCCTTTTTTGGTCCAAGGCATGTACCAAAGGTTCTAACAATTGCCACATACGGAACGTAACTGTTTCTGGTTGGGACTGGGTTTGCAGCATGGAACTTCTTCAAGGGTTGTTCCTTTACCTCGCCTCACCGTGGACGAAGCCATGCTTCTTGCTCTCCCGTCTTGTCTGCCAAGGCCCCAGGCCCACAGAGACGATACCGGAGACGCAGAAGAGCAGGGCGAGCCAGTGGAAGACGTACAAGCGGCGGTTGAGACCTTGGTGCGAACATGGTGCAAACCTCCGAAGAACCCCTTCAACAATAACCATTCAAAGACCAACATGTGCAAACCCTTGCTTTGATGAAAACCATTCCAAACGTGGCTCTTGGAATCCCAGCTGTTGAGACCTACATGCGCTTGACAAATCCAAACGCGTCGACTGACACCCCCAACAAATGAGGCCCGTCGCCCCAATCAGTTGGATTGTGCGAACTGGTCTATGTCCCTTCGAAGAATACTGGGAGGTCTCCCGTTTTTGATGGGAGCCTATACGCCCAACAGCAAGCCAGCAGGGGGTGGCAGGTGGTAGGTGTCCAAGAGGTGAGACTTGTGGTTGTTGTTGGTGGTGGTGATGGTGGTTGTCACCCACCCTGAAAGCCACACTACACCCTGTCTGCCGTCTTCTCTCCAGGACCCTGGCTGGACCCTCCATGTCCCATACATTGGACCCCACCAAATCGTTCTGTGCCTCCGAGACGCAAAAGACCGAGAAGATGGCGGCCTCAACGGTTCGCGCGCGCCGGGGGTGAGAAGCTTCTCCACGTCGATGTCACGTAGCCGGTGTTCTGTGATGCTCGGGTTCGCATTGTAACATTTACCCTAAGAATCCGGGCCCTTCTCCTATTCGGGATCCGGTTTCGTACATGTCTCGCATCTTAAGAGCCTTGGATTTGATGAAGACCAGTTGCTTTTCCGCCAGTTTGGTGGCCGAGGACCTTGGCTTCCATGTTGAGGGACTCCGCCACAGCTGAAAAAAGATTGTGTCCAGCATGGACTTCCCAAAGGATGCGGTGCCTGAGGCGAGCACCATGTCGTGAATGGGTCACCATAGCCTGGAGTTCATGGAGGTTCTGATTCACGGAGTACTGGAGTCCTTTCCACAGCTTCCTCCATCCTGTCCAAAAGTGTTTTGTGGCGCATTGTGCCATGGACTGTGTCAAAGTTCCTGCAAGGTGATACTGCTGAGAGGAGGTGCCGTGGCAGACCAATGACAAGGGTGTACCTGCTCGATGGCCCGAGATTGCGGACAGCTGCTGCAGGCATGCTGAACATGCCAGAATAGACCATGGGGTGGCACTTCACCCCTGCGCTGCAGGTTTTTGGTTAGTTTCGCAAAACAATGCAAAACAAACAAATCAGGTTACGCATGGTTACGCTGACACCAAATGGCCTTCCATGTAATCAATGAAAATCATTGAAAATGAATGGTTGAACTTGCCAAGCGCTGTGCATCAAAACATTCCAATTCCAAGCTGTCAAAATTACTTTACTTCGAGTGATCCCCACCATGACATTTCAAAACAGCTACGTTGACATCACCCTCGTTGTGTATTTCAGCCCATAGCACAAGTCCTTCAGCGCCAAGTCTTACTGCTTTGTCTGAAGCGAATGCTTTCATCAGGAGACCTGTGCCCAACTAATATTCCAACTCAGATGCTTGTGTGTTTGTGGCTGCGTTTGTGATTGTGTTTGTGGTTGTGTGTTTGTGGTTGGGTGTTTGTGGTTGTGTTTGTGGTTGTGTGTTTGTGATTGTATGTTTGTGATTGTGTGTTTGTGGTTGTGTGTTTGTGGTTGTGGTTGTGATTGCGTTTGTGGTTGGGTGTTTGTGGTTGTGTTTGTGGTTGCGTGTTTGCGTTTGTGTGTTTGTGATTGTGCGTTGGTGGTTGTGTTTGTGGTTGTGTGTTTGTGGCTGCGTTTGTGATTGTGTTTGTGGCTGTGCTTGTGGTTGTGAGTTTGTGATTGTGTTTGTGGTTGGGTGTTTG